ACCACACACACACACAACACACACACACACAAACAAACAGAAATTACACATGCGTGACTGGGAAAACAGGATGCCAACAAATGTAGTTTCACAGGTGCCACTCGCCCACAATCTTTAAATGACTTGATAAGTAACAGTATAATACGGGTAATATCAATTTAATGGGTGCAAACACACACACACACACAGATGGTCCTGCCTTGGGCTTCCAAGTGTTCTTGGTCGGGCGTATCTTATCAGTCCCTAGACAACCTCCACACTTTGACTGTCAGCACATTTCAACATACCACTTTCCAAGACTCACACACACATTGCACACCACACACACACACACACACACACACGCGCACACACTAATAGATAAAACATAAAGTCTGAGGTGAGTAACGTGATCAGTCCAAGAATGTACTGCCGAGGGAAGAAAGAAAGGAAAATGTGGAATATAAAAGATGCTATACTTCTTTATTACTTATTTATTATTATTTATTATTATTATTATTTTCTTTATATATTTATATTATTATTAGGGATTCTTCAGGTTGACTGATGTTATTTAAATATTTAAATACTAAAATATGCTCTAACAGACAAAACTTAAGTACAGCTTACTGCTGTATTTGAGTTCGTTAATTCCTTCATCATTGCCTATAGCCACATATTATTCTCCTCACAGGGATCCCTATCCCAAGCATGCACTACCATATCACTGTTGATGGGAACTAGTCTGGTGGTTTCCAGTCTGAGGGTTTTTGATTGGGGGCACAACAACAACCAACACTTTGGGGGCTTTAATATCTGTATAATAAATAATAAAACGTCACAACTCTTAACCTATATTATATTCTGCAGAACTCCTGTTATATATCCACAAGCTGTGATGAATGGTCAAAAGGAATAAAGCTAATGATGGAAAAAAGATTTCAATCATGGCTGTGGCATTATCCTATGACACCTGATGTTCATGTACTGAACATGAAAACCCACACCAATACAATGATTTCATAATATAGATCTTTATTAATTAGAGTTAAATTAATAATCTATTACAAGTATTAGTAAGCATAGCTTCAGTAAAAAGTTCAATATATATATCCAAATTTATTATCATTTCTTTGAAAATTTTTAATGAATGTTATTATCCATTTTTATAATTTGTATACTCATTTATTTATAATAATGTATTTGAATTCTATTTTTATATATATCTATATTTTTAGGTATGGTTATTAAATTTATTCAAAGTTGTTTTAGTTTTAAAAGTTTATATTATCTCATATTAAGTTCTCAAAAGTGTTACTTTAGTAGCCATTAATACCTAGATTTGATATATATTATTGGTATAGTCTGACAACCGTGTGATTCTTTATATTTTGATATTTGATATTGAAATTGATTAAACAAATTATTTAAGAGTTTGAGAAACACTCTGATAATATATTCTGGGAAATCCTTGATTGTGTCATTTTCTTTTTTATGTATGACAACATTAAACTAGTATGCTTTTATGTTGTCTATACCTTACCTGAATCCTGGACTTCTCCCCCTTCGGTGAGTCCGACTGACTGCTTTCTTTCCCTTTTTCGGGGAAGGTGACGTGGACACATGGTTTAGAGGTAGACTTTGGCCGCCACCACAATGGCAGCCAGTCCCGCTAAGGACGCATGTGCTCCCTGCTGAAGCTCCCTGTTCACCGGCAAACTTCACTGAGAAACTCAGGCCTGAATTAAAAGGGGCCGGAAGACCCTCTGCGGGACAGGCGTCGACGTAGTTGCTGGTTCAAGTGGCGACACCGAGGAAGAGGGGTGTCGCTTACCGTGCAATAGCTAAAAAGACGTGACATTTCTTGGGCTGAAAGCTCGGCAGACGGATCACATGGCAGCCGGCCGACCAACAACTTTCTTAAGGGAAAAGACAGTGTTGACGTTTGTGTAACACTATCACACAGCGGCGTTTCTCTCCGGTCTCGTCCCTTTTTTATTTATTTTTTAACAATTTGACCCAGAAACATGTGCAGTTAATTTATACTGAAAGTTTTCGTGGTGAAGTACTATGGGCTGCTTTTGTGAGAACTGAATGTGTACTGGCAGAACTGGGCCACTAGAGGGCGACACGGTAAAAGGCCATATGGGGTTTACAGGCGTCAGATTATTCAATGCTATTGAAAACTCACGTTATCCAGTATTTATAGATCAGGATCCTTATTATGGATCACTCTGCTCCCAACACTTACTGTGTAAAACAATATAACAAATATCGCATCAATCAGTTGATAGAAAAAGCTAAAAATTAAAGAGCCACACATTAAGAGGTTCATGGCAGGTTTAAATACAATGTATTTCCCCTTGCTCTATGATTTTAGTTTTTACTTTTTAGAAGGTTATATCGTTAGTTTTGGTATAAATTAAATTATATTTTATGTATTTATAGAGGCATATTTTCTGTGGGAGGGCAATTAAAGTTGAAAATTATCAAAAACAGTAACATGCACACACACACAAACAAACAGAAATACACATGCGTGACTGGGAAAACAGGATGCCAACAAATGTAGTTTCACTGAGTGCACTCGCCACATCTTTAAATGACTTGATAAGTAACAGTATAATACGGGTAATATCAATTTAATGGGTGCAAACACACACACACACACAGATGGTCCTGCCTTGGGCTTCCAAGTGTTCTTGGTCGGGCGTATCTTATCAGTCCCTAGACAACCTCCACACTTTGACTGTCAGCACATTTCAACATACCACTTTCCAAGACTCACACACACATTGCACACCACACACACACACACACACACACACGCGCACACACTAATAGATAAAACATAAAGTCTGAGGAGTAACGTGATCAGTCCAAAATGTACTGCGAGGAGAGAGAAAGAAAGGAAAGATGTGAATATAAAAGATGCTATACTTCTTTATTATTATTATTATTATTATTATTATTATTATTTTCTTTATATATTTTATATTATTATTAGATCTTCAGGTGACTGATG